GAGAGTAAACCCTCAGAGCTCTTATCCCAAGGAAAACTAATTTTTTCTATTTTTAAATTTTGTATCTATATGAGATGATGGATGTTCACTACACTTATTGTGATAAGTATTTCATGATGTATGTAGGCCTGTGTGTGTGTGTGTGTGTGTTTATGTGCTCAGTCATATCTGACTCTTTGTGACCCCATGGACTGTAGCCCATCTGGCTCCTCTGTCCGTGGGATTTCCCAGGCAAGAATACAGGAGTGGGTTGCCATTTCCTCCTCCATGGGGATCCTTCTGACCCAGGGATCAAACCTGGGTCTCCTGTATTGCAGGCAGATTCCTTACCGTCTGAGCCACCAGGGTAATCCCTAGTCATTTTGTTATATACCTTAAACTTCTACAGTGCTGTATGCCAGTCATCTCTCAATAAAATTGGAAGAAAACATTGTTTTTAAAGAATCTTTAGCCCTTGGATAGTATTGGTCTCTCTAGGTTATTATACAAACACTGAAATTAGAGTGAAAATCATCATAATTTTTAGAGTTCATTTTCCTTGGTAGACACTCCAGATGCGTTAGCTTCTGGGAACAAAGTCACACAGGTTCTTAAGTGAATGACTCAAAATGAAAACATTTAAATGTCTTTGAATTTCTACCTATCTCCTGTGATTGCTTTTTAAAATAAAGTGTGTTCATATCTCCAGGTTTCCCAAGTGGAGCTGTGGTAAGAGTCCTCCTGCCTATGCAGGAGACAGAGTAGATGTGGGTTCAATCCCTGGGTCAGGAAGATTCCCTGGAAAAGGAAATGGCAACCCACTCCAGTATTCTAGCCAGGCCAATTCCATGGACAGAGGAGACTGGTGGGCTACAGTCCATGGGCTCACAAAGAGTCAGACACAACTGATCTATGAAGCCCTCACGCATGTTCATCTTTCCATGTTTTTGAATGATGTGCATGATGTTTATAAGTTCTGTGTTTTTTCAGTTCAGAAGCAGAATCTCATTGAGCACATCTGGTTTTACAAAGCCATGAAGTCACATCTTGGATGAGCTTTATTAAAGACAATGAATCTAAAATATGTGCCCTCCCAGAGGTGGACGTCCTGTGCCTTGACTCACTTTGAAAACTGCCTCAGAAAACCTGGGCAGTGTCCTTCCATCACTGTAAGAATTTTATACAAATTGTGAAGGTGATTCTGAACTCCAGGAAATCTTTGGGGCATGGGCTTGTTTCTATCTCTTCCAGGGCTGTGCTGTGCTGTGGTCAGCCACTCAGTTGTGCCCAATTCTCTGAGATGCCGTGGACTGTAGCCTGCCAGTCTCCTCTGTCCAGGGGATTTTCCAGGCAAGAATACTGGAGTGGGTTGCCATTTCTTCTTCCAGAGGATCTTCCCGACCCAGGGATCAAATCCACGTGTTTTGTCTCCTGCACTGGCAAGCGGGTTCTTTACCACTGAGATGCCGGGGAAGCCCCATCTCTTCCTAGTCAGATCTAAATTATCTGTATAGAGTGAATCAAACTCAGAAGTGAGACCCTAAATTTCACTTTTATTAAAAACTAGGAAGTCAATAAAATTTAACCAAAAATAAAAGAAGAGGAGGCAGAACCCACTAACAGCATATGCTCTGTTGAATTTGTATAAGTAAGCCTTCCGGGGAATCTTAGTTTTTGACAAATTTCAAAACACATAAGAGCTCCTGTGGCTTCCAGGGCTTGGATATGACTCATAAGACGTGAATTTCCTTTTGCTCTGAATGGGCTCCGCGTCTTACTGAATTTAATTGCTAAACCAGGTGTTTGCCCAGCTCGGAAAAACAAGCAAGCAGGAGAGCTGACAGCTGCAGCCTTCTCCTTGTCTCTGGGCCCCTGTCTGCCCTCCAGTCGTGTAGGCGGCGACGACTCCCCCACAGGGGAGCCCAGGGCTCCTCCTGCCTGAAGTATCTTCCCCCTGGTTCTACACGCCCCGCACCAAAGTGGCCCCGAGAACCGCGTCAGCAGCTTCGCCCCACTCTCTGTGCACCCACCTGCTGGTGAGAATCTTAGGGATCTTTAAGAAAGAGAACCATAACCCTGGTTGTTTTCTGGTTGTACTGGTTAGAGGGTCGGAAGGGGACTGAGGAAGGCTGTGGTCACCAGAAACATCCTAACTGGTCCTTCAACCCAGGGACACTGTCTGTGGGTCTGAGGACCCCCTCAAGGGGCAGCCAGGCCCACAGGTCCCCGCTGCCCTCCAGCTGCCCGGCCCGCCCTCGGCCCGGGGTCTGGCATGCAGGCGGGCTGGCACCCTGAGCTGTGTGCACCAGGCCTCCATCCTCCCCTCCCCCAGCCCTTCCTACTCAGGCCCGGGGTCATGTCCGGGCCTCCTGCTCAGCACAACACCGATTCTGACCCTTTCAGCCCGAGGTGCTGCCTCCCTGTGCCCTAGACTTGGGGTCATCAGCACGCTCAGGCCAGCCTATGCCCAGGCTCCCCTGCCCCACGAGGGAGCTCACCCAGGGCTCAAGCCAGAGCCTCTGAGGGTCCCACCCTGTGCCATTGAGACCCTTGGAGCTGCAGAGTCACAGAGGCTACAGGGTCCTCGGAGGCCAGGCAACCTTGACCTTGACCTACCCCTTAGACCTTGGTGAGCTTCCAGGTCCCATTGATTAAACATGGATAATAACACCCAGGGACTTCCCTGGTGGCTCAGAGGGTAAAGCATCTGCCTGCAATGCAGGAGACCTGGGTTCAGTCCCTGGGTCAGAAAGATCCCCTAGAGAAGGAAATGGCAACCCACTCCAGTACTCTTGCCTGGAAAATTCCATGGACGGAGGAGCCTGATAGGCTACAGTCCATGGGGTTGCAAAGAGTTGGACACAACTGAACGACTTCACTTTCTTTCTTTCTAATAATACCCAGCCCAGTGCTGATGAGGGAGCTAAAACACCCAGCCAGCAGGTCCTAGTACCCTCCCCACCCCTATTCCAGGAAATGAAGCCAAAGACCCTCAGGGCCCTCCCCACCCAGCAGCACAGTTAACCCAGCAGTTTCCCTGGTAAGGACTACCCTCTGAGACCCTCCCCAGCCTACCTCCAAAAGGGGACCCTTCCTCTTGGTGCAGCCCTCCCACCCAGAGCCCAGCCTGTCCCACTGGCCAGAGCCACTTATGTACCCTGTATCATGTAAGCTCCTGGCCTCCCTCATCGGCCACCACCACTTGTCCCCGGCCACAGGCATGGTCCCCTCCATACATCTCTTGGGACCATTTCAGCCTCCTTTCACAGGCTCCCTGAAGAGGCCTCTCCCCACCCTGGGGAACAAGCTGGGTGCTGGGCTGAGTGCTGGCCTGGCCCCACCTGGCTTTACTGGGCGATGGCCCCCACTCCATGCCAGGATCAAACGTTTCTCCAAGGACAACCTGCTCGGGGCTGCGCCTTCTCCCTGAGTCCCGGTGCTGGCTGACTGCCTGGTGTGGCCCTGAAAGCAGAGCCCTCCTGCTCAGGGGCCAAATGTGGGGATGGGGGGAAGAAGGAGTGTAACCGTGACCTAGAGACAGCCTTCAGAGACTCAGGACCTGGAGCCGTCAGCCCATCATATGGGGATGCTGCAAACCAGAGATGCGGATGGGACACCCAGGGACTTCCTTGGTGGCTCAGAGGGTAAAGCATCTGCCTGCAATGCAGGAGACCCAGGTTCAATTCCGGGGTCAGGAAGATCCCCTGGAGAAGGAAATGTCAACCCACTCCAGTACTCTTGCCTGGAAAATTCCATGGACGGAGGAGCCTGGTAGGCTACAGTCCATGGGGTTGCAAAGAGTTGGACACAACTGAACGACTTCACTTTCTTTCTTTCTAATAATACCCAGCCCGGTGCTGATGAGGGAGCTAAAACACCCAGCCAGCAGGTCCTAGTACCCTCCCCACCCCTATTCCAGGAAATGAAGTCAAAGACCCTCAGGGCCCTCCCCACCCAGCAGCGCAGTTAACCCAGCAGTTTCCCTGGTAAGGACTACCCTCTGAGACCCTCCCCAGCCTACCTCCAAAAGGGGACCCTTCCCCTTGGTGCAGCCCTCCCACCCAGAGCCCAGCCTGTCCCACTGGCCAGAGCCACTTATGTACCCTGTATCATGTAAGCTCCTGGCCTCCCTCATCGGCCACCACCACTTGTCCCCGGCCACAGGCATGGTCCCCTCCATACATCTCTTGGGACCATTTCAGCCTCCTTTCACAGGCTCCCTGAAGAGGCCTCTCCCCACCCTGGGGCACAAGCTGGGTGTTGGGCTGAGTGCTGGCCTGGCCCCACCTGACTTTACTGGGCGATGGCCCCCACTCCATGCCAGGATCAAGCGTTTCTCCAAGGACAACCTGCTCGGGGCTGCGCCTTCTCCCTGAGTCCCAGTGCTGGCTGACTGCCTGGTGTGGCCCTGAAAGCAGAGCCCTCCTGCTCAGGGGCCAAATGTGGGGATGGGGGGAAGCAGGAGTGTAACCGTGACCTAGAGACAGCCTTCAGAGACTCAGGACCTGGAGCCGTCAGCCCATCATATGGGGATGCTGCAAACCAGAGATGCGGATGGGAGCCTGGGAGCCTGGCCCAGAGTCACCCCAGGAGTCGGTGGCGGGGGGAGGCCAAGACCCCCTTTCTGCACAAGAGACGCACACAGACACGCACACAGACATGTTCTCATATACATGCGTGCATGCACATTGTCATATACAAATACACGTGTACACAGACACCTTCTCATACACATGCACACGTGAACATACATGTACACACAGGCTCCCGGCTTTCCTGCCCCTTCTTCTCCCTCACTACCTCTCCTTCTGGCCTGTGCATCCAAATCACCGGGAGGATTTTATAAACGCTGACTTCGCACCTGTTCCCCCATGAGAACTCCACCCTGTTCCAACCCCTGGCTCGGTCCCGCACTCAGAGTCAGAGACCTCGGGGTGCAGCTTCTTCCCAGTGCCCCAGGCTGAAGGCTGACCCTCCCCACCCCGCGATCCAGATGCCCGGAGCCTTCTCCCCAGCCTCACGCTCTGCAGGGCGGTGCCGCACTCGTTCCACGCGGCTGCCAGGGTCACGTGTGTGCTGTTTCGGTCGCTGACGTTGCAGGACGGCTGCCCCAGGTAGAGCGAGGACTCGGGGATGCCCTCCTGCTGCAGGAAGCGCCTCTGGATGACAAGGGCCACCTTCTCGATCTCGCAGAGCACCCTGACCGCCCCAGTCAGGTTCAGCCGTGGGGACACGCCCTGGGAGGCAGGGAGGGCACCCTGCCCAGAGGTAGCTCCAGCTCCTGTTGGGGTCAGGGGCTGTTCTGGGCCAGGGGCCTGGGTTGTGTTGCCAGGAGAGTCACCTGCAAGGCAGGAGGAGGCAGAAGCATAGAGTGGGTCTGTGTTTAGGGTCAGCCACATGAGCCTGGCCAGCGGGGTGGCATAGGGCAGGAGGGTGTGGGCAGAAGGTGGACAGCAGACGGGAAGCATCTGCAGCCACACATGGTGAGCTCACACATGCCAGCCCAGGGGCACACACAGGTGTGTTCCATGTTCCCGCCAGCCCAAGCAGCTGGGCACGCCCTGGCTCACTTTTGCTGCCGTGGCCAGGGAACTGTGGGGCCCTCTGCCCTCCCAGGCTGACACTGGGCTTGTGATGAGTCCACGGACTTGGGACCAGCCATCACCCCCGGGGTCCCCTGAGTCTCCTCTGTAAAATGGGTTATAAAAGAGTTCTATGGTGGTCCAGTGGTTAAGAATCTGTCTGCCAATGCAGGCGACACGGGTTCGATCCCTGGTCTAGGGAAGATCCTACATGCCACAGAGCAACCAAGACCTTGTGCCTCAACTAAAGAGTAGCCCCTGCTCGCTGTAACTATAGAAACCCACGCACAGCACCAAAGACCCAGTGCAGCCAAAAATAAATAAATAAGTAAAATGGGTTAATGAAGTTCACTCTGGATCCTCAGATTCCTCACTCCTGCTCTGCTTCCCACTTCCCTCAAAGGACGCTCACTTTCAACGTCTGGGAGAGCACGAGGCTCTGTAAGAACATCCCCCATCCTCTGAGGGCAGACGCAGGACACGCTCAGCCATCCTGGGGCCTCTGCTACAGACCGGCTCCACCACCTGCACCCCTGACCCCTGCCATCCCATCTCAAGGTGCTCACCAGCTGCCCAGCCCTGGGCGGCAGCCTAAATCCCTGCTTCCAGTGCTCACAGCCTTCTCGTCTGGCCTCATCTGGCCTCGCTGGGCAGCCTGTCCCAGCTCTCCCGCACACCTCCTGCAGGCACTACCTGCAGCCAGCCCAGGTTGTGGGCCTGGACCCCGCCCACCCTCAACAGCTCCGTTCCCACTGCTGCACCCAGCACCACACCCCACCCCGCAGCAGCCCCCTCTGCCCGACGAGGGCTGAGCCATCCTTTAAGACTGGCGCTAAGACCCCTCTTTCCTGACCACACCCTGACCACACCATGGGACTGAAACAACTTCAGTGTCCTCTGGGCCTCCTGCTTCTGCCTCAAGTAGCCCACATCTCGCATCCCCTGAGGCATCGTGTTCACTCCTGTAAAGGCCTATCTCCTCCATGTGACCACAGATCCCTAGAGGGCAGGGGTCATCTCAGGGTCAACAGTGAATCCACAAACGTCCCATTTAGTGGAAGAAGTGCTGCATGGACAGTGGGGCTGAGTAGAAAGATTTCCATGTGTCGTTTGTCACACAGACTTGGGTTTTGAAAGATCATCTTTTAGCATCTGAGAGCACACACCTGAGTGGTTGTGTGTGTTTCCTCATCACGGGCATCAGAAGAAGCACTTAGGAGATGAGGTGCCTCCAGAAGGCTGGAGGTGTGTGGAAGGATGAGGAGGTACCAGAACATACACATGTGCACACACATGCACACACACACGCACAAGTACACATATATGTATCTACACATGCACGTGTGTGGCACACATATGCACGTGCACACTCCAGAAACTTGTCCAGGACTTAAAAATGTGTTGACCTCATTTAGAAAAGATGCACTTTGGGGATGAGTGTCCTTAAAAGAACAGACTATCTGATGGTGTTCCAGACAAACCATCCTGATAATATTACCTTCGCAAGGTCTTCCAGAAAATTCCACCAGGAGGTCAGGGGCATCTCCCTCACAGCTGCAGATGAAGGAGCCCAGCGTGTTGCGGCAGGCAGAGCCTGGGGCACAGTCATCCTCCTGGCTTGCACACTCATCATAATCTGCAGCATTCAGAAAGCAAGACAGGAAACCCTCATGGGGACCTGAGCATCTCGGCCGTGCCACGGTTTACAGCAGCTTGATGGGGAAGGTGCTTCTTGGGGAGTGAAGTTAAAATTATCAAGTGACAGCAAAGATGGCCAGTTCTGTAAGGCTAAAGAGCAGCGTGGCACCTTGAATTTCTACAGGGGATGGGGTGGGAGCAGGTGGCAGAAAGTCTGCTAAGACTATTCTGAAAGGAGGATTCCTGGACCCGGGGATGCTGGGGTGGGGGAGGGGCACAGCAGCGTCCCCTCAGCTCCCTGGAGACCAGGAGACAAGGAGGACCCCACCCCCACCGTGGTCTCAGGTAGAGGGACCCAGCCACCCACCTGCTCTCATCTTATTAGCAATACCAAGAAGCAGTACCATTTAGCTTTACTAAAGAAAATGGATAAACACTAAAAGGGCTTGGCAAAGCCTTCCATCTTTGTGTTTCATCTTTCATGTACCGTCTATTTGGGTCTTTTGTGCCTGTGTCTATTGCATTCTTAGTATTTTATTACCAATGCAATTGATCACTCTATATTTGGGATATAATTCTTCACCAGATTGTTGAAATTATTTCTTGGTCTGTTGCTTGCTTTACAATGGTGACTATTTTGTTTGATATGAGAGCTTGAATTTTTTTATAGAGGTAGCTATTCCAGTCTTTTTCTCTGTAGGCGTAGCACAGCAGCGTCCCCTCAGCTCCCTGGAGACCAGGAGACAAGGAGGACCCCACCCCCACCGTGGTCTCAGGTAGAGGGACCCAGCCACCCACCTGCTCTCATCTTATTAGCAATACCAAGAAGCAATGCCATTTAGCTTTACTAAAGAAAATGGATAAACACTAAAAGGGCTTGGCAAAGCCTTCCACCTTTGTGTTTCATCTTTCATGTGCCGTCTATTTGGGTCTTTTGTGCCTGTGTCTATTGCATTCTTAGTATTTTATTACCAATGCAAGTGATCACTCTATATTTGGGATATAATTCTTCACCAGATTGTTGAAATTATTTTTTGGTCTGTTGCTTGCTTTACAATGGTGACTATTTTGTTTGATATGAGAGCTTGAATTTTTTTATAGAGGTAGCTATTCCAGTCTTTTTCTCTGTAGGCGTAACCCTTCTCATTCCAAAAATCAGCAAAATATTCATCTATGTTGCCTTTGATTTTACTCATCCATGTAACTCTCAGCCTCTTATCATGTATTCTCAGGCCTGGTATGTGCTCAGCATGGAATTGTGTGTCCTCAAAATCTATATGTTGAAGCCTTGACTCTTGAAGCAGGACTGCAATTCGAGATGGGCCCTTCAGAAGACAGTTAAGGTAGCTGAGATCATAAGAGAGGGGCGCTGATCTGATCAGGACTGACGGCCTTACAATAAGAGACAGCAGAGCCCTTTCTCCACATGCAGAGAGGAAAGGCCACACAAGGACACAGCCGCAGGGTGGCCCGGACAGGTCAGGAGACAGCCCTCACCCAAATCAGCCAGCATCCAGTGTCTAGAATTGTGAGACAATAAATGTCTGTTGTTTAAGTCACTCCATCCATGGTTGTGTTTTTTTTTTTAAAACAACAGCTTGAGCTGACCAATACAGTATGAGAAGAGACTCTAAACTGCCTCTACTCCCTGCTTTTCTTTTCAATTATTCTTCCTAGGGTCTCCTTGCCAACTGTGCTGGGGAGGAACTCTGGCTGCAGAGAGGGACCTGTCTGCCCTCTGCCCATCCCACTTAACAGCAGCAGCGGGGGAGGAAGGAGCGGGACGCAGAAAGGAGGCAGTGTCCCTGGGCATCCTGGCAGGTTCACCAGAAGATGTTTTCAACCCGTAAACCTTTTCAAAAAACTATAGTAGCAGTAAGAGAGACAAGGGTCCTATAGGTTTCCATTTTCATCCCATGCAGGGAAGCCTTTTCGAGGAGGCACATCTTTCAGAAATGAAGCCACTGGCGGGATTTCACTGCCTCCTTTGGGGAATGAGTCTCCATTGGGGCCTGGCCTCCGCCTACCCCCTATGAAGGTGTCGCCTCCGACCACCTCCAGCAGAGAGGTGTTCCGAAAGGCAGCCAGGAATGCAGCAGACACCTCCCGAACATCCACGTCTTCGAGGACCAGCAAGGTGAACTCCACCACGATGCTCCCATTGGAGATGCGGGTCACTTCTATGCGCACCCCGCCTGTGTCCAGGTGCTGAAGTATGAAGGCTGGCAAGGAATTCCGCACCTTTAGAGAAAAAGGGCTGGTGAAAAGAGCTGCCCGCTGAGAGAGGAGATAGAGTCCTCGTTCTAAAGTGGCTCCTCTGGGGACTGTGGCCAGCAGCAGGGCTGGCCTTGGGAAAGACATCAAAGCCACGGGTCAGCTCTGGCCTGGTCCCTGTCTGCCAGGTCCCCAGACCCAGCACAAATACCAGTGGAGTCTGAGACAATGAGCCCTGTCCTCCCCACCAACCAGCCAGTCAGCACGGGGTTGAGTGCCAAAGCCCTACCCTATGGGGCTTGTAACCTGGAAGGGGGCTCAGGAGGGCAGTTAGGATCTGCTGATCACTCTTGGCTCAGAGCCGTGGGAGTGGGGGATGGCTGAACGAGTGGTCAAAGGGAGGGACCCCACCTCCCACACTTGTTTTTTTCTAGAACAGTCCTTGTGATTCTCACACTGCAGGACACCCCCCTTTCTTTCTTGCCGCCTGCCTTTCCGAAGACCGTTTCCCTTGAGCATCCTACTTGTTGTCGTTGTTGAGTTGCTCAGTCATGTCCAACTGTTCATGACCTCATGGACTGCAGGACACCAGGCTTCCCTGTCCTTCACTATCTCCCGGAGCTTGCTCAAACTCCTGTCCATTGAATCAGTAATGCCATCCAACCATCTTATCTTCTGTGGTCCTCTTCTCCTCCTGCTTTCAATCTTTCCCAGCATCAGGTTCTTTTCCAGTGAGTCAGCTCTTAGCATCAGGTGGCCAAAGTATTGGCGCTTCATCATCAGTCCTTCCAATGAAGATTCAGGACTGATTTCCTTTAGGATTGACTAGTTGGATCTCCTTGCTGTCTAAGGGACTCTCAAGAGTCCTGCCCTTATAAGCCTTGCTTATTATTCTATCAGTTTGGACAGAACCCTGTATGTAATGATAACTATATTATTCCATTCTAACCTATCATGGCCTAAATGCCTAGAAAACTACCCCCATCATATGATGAGCTTTGAGTGGTCCATATAGCGCAAATCTGCCATGGAAGAGCCCACCTCCATGGTTTGCCCTCGTAAGAATACCTCATCTGCATCTAAACTGCATGAGGTTCAGGCACAGGCTTGTGGATTCCCAGTCTTGGGACAGCCAGTGTGAGCATATCACCCACGAGAGACTGTGGATGCTCAGGAGACCCCAAAGCCTCTTGCAGTCATGTGGCTGCCACCATTGTCATTGGAAGAGCTGGTCTTCTCTACCTCTGTCTCTTTCTTTCTCTCTGGGATTTCCCCAGAGGGCTCTATAGAGCCTTGGGTTAAAGTCACTCTTGTCTGAATTACAAGCCAGTCTCAAAGCAAAGTTCCAAGCCCCTTGCTAGGAAATGACAAAAAAAAAAGCAACACATTATCCCACAACATCCCAAAATGTGTCCTAATGTCCTACATAGGTGTTAAGTTGCACAGTTATTTGCAATGCAGAAATTCCAGATAGCAAACTGTCCCCCCAAATAGGCAAAAATATGAAATGCTTTCAAAAAGAAAGGTTAATCAAGGAACTTGAGTGGTAATGAAGCTGTCTCGTGAGGCCACTAGAGCCGTGTGATCTGATCTCAGTGATTGTTGCTTAATATGATGTGTGTTGTTGTTAGGGGTCTTCCAGGTGGCTCAGTGGTAAAGAATCCACCTGCCAATGCAGGAGACCCAGGCTCAATTCCTGGTTCAGCAAGATCCCCTGCAGGAGGGCATGCCAACCCACTCCAGTATGCTTTCCTGGAGAATCCCATGGGCAGAGGAGCCTGGTGGCCAGGCTATAGTCCGTTTTCAATCACTAAGTTGTCTCTGACTCTTTGCAACCCCATGGACTAGAGCATACCAGGCTCCCCTTGTCCTTCACTATCTCCCAGAGTTTGTTCAAATTCATGTCTATTGAGTCAGTGATACTATCTAACCATCCTCTGCCATCCTCTTCTCCTTTTGCCTTCAATCTTTTCCAGCATCAGGGTCTTTTCCAGTGAGTTGGCTCTTTGCATCAGGTGGCTAAAGTAGTGGTGCTTCAACTTCAGCATCAGTCCTCCAATGAATATTCAGGGTTGATATCATTTAAGATTGACTGGTTTAATATCCTTGCAGTCCAAGGGATTCTCAGGAGTCTTCTCCAGCACCACAATTTGAAAGCATCAATTCTTTGGCACTCAGCCTTCTATGTGGTCCAACTCGTGATGTGCAACTATCCCAAGGAAGCTGGTGATAAACATGTGAATCAGACCGTCAACAGCTCTTGAATCTATCCACACACTGGGCCAGGAGCTTGGGACCTCAGGATAAATAAAGCAGGATCCCAGACCCCAAAGACCACCAATGGGATGGTTCCCGGAGGCAGTATGCCTATTTTATCAGCAACGCTGATGGGGTTGAAAAGAATCACCAAACATCACAGCCACCAGCATTGCTGAGGCTTCATCCTGTTATGACTCCACCAATAGGTGGCGCTGCCAAGCTCTCTCAGTTCTGCATCTTAAACTCCCAAAGTAAGGAAAACCTAAAATATCTCAGATGTCCTCTATGCCAGCGATCCCCAACCTTTTTGGCACCAGGGACTGGCTCTGTGGAAGACAAATGTTCCACAGACCGGGGGGGAGATGGTTTGGGATGATTCAAGCACATTACATTTATTGTGCCCTCTATCTCTATTATTATTACGCCAGCTCCATCTCAGATCTCCAGGCATTAGATCCTGGAGGCTGGGGACTCCTGTTCTATACAAACAAGATCTCAACAAGTGCATTCTCTATTCATCAAAGAGTAACCTAACCGCCAGCAAAAATAATATATTGCCACTATAAATAAATTGTAACAATATACATTCTCTGGGAAGCCAAAAAATGCCAAAGGGGTTGCAGAGGGCACTGCAACAAAGAGAAGGAAAAAGAATTTTTTAAGGCTGGAATCACAGCAGCATTATTCCCAATAGCCAAAAAGTGGAAGCAACCCAAATGTTCATCAGTGGATGATGGCTAAACAGAACGTGGTCTGTCTTTAAGGAGGAATATCACCTGGCCATAAAAAGGAATGAAGTTCTGATATTGATACAACAGGGATGAACCTTGAAGATATTATACCCAGTGAAATAAGCCAAACACAAAAGTCATGTATTGTAGGATTCCATTTCTGTGAAATATCCAGAACAGGCAAATGCATAGAGACGGAAAGCACACATCTGGTTCCAGGGGCAGAGAGAAGGGGAGATGAAGAGATAAACTGGTTTCTTTCTCAGAGGATGAAAACGTTGTGGAATTAGATGGTGGTGATGGCTGCGCAATTTTGCAAACCATCTAAACCGCTGGATCCCGCACTTTAAAAGAGTGAGTTTTGTGGTGTGTGAAATAGATCTCAATTTGTAAATGCTTTTCCTTTTTAAGGCACAGGGGAGGCTTTCTGCTCCACAGGGTCCCACATCAATAGAGACTTTGAACCGGAAACAACGTGAAGCAGAGGAAAAGGTGAGTCCCTCACCTGCTGGTGTGTCTGTTTAATGACAGATCAGAACACACAGGCCCTCACCAGAGCTGGATAAAGCACATTACATTTATTGTGCGGTCTATCTCTATTATTATTACACCAGCTCCATCTCAGATCTCCAGGCATTAGATCCTGGAGGCTGGGGACAACTGCTCTATACAAACAAGATCTCAACAAGTGCATTCTCTATTCATCAAAGGGTATCCTAACCGCCAGCAAAAATAATATATTGCCACTATAAATAAATTGTAACAATATACATTCTTTGGGAAGCCAAAAAATGCCAAAGGGGTTGCAGAGGGCACTGCAACAAAGAGAAGGAAAAAGAATTTTTTAAGGCTGGGATCACAGCAGCATTATTCCCAATAGCCAAAAAGTGGAAGCAACCCAAATGTTCATCAGTGGATGATGGCTAAACAGAACGTGGTCTGTCTTTAAGGAGGAATATCACCTGGCCATAAAAAGGAATGAAGTTCTGATATTGATACAACAGGGATGAACCTTGAAGATATTATACCCAGTGAAATAAGCCAAACACAAAAGTCATGTATTGTAGGATTCCATTTCTGTGAAATATCCAGAACAGGCAAATGCATAGAGACGGAAAGCACACATCTGGTTCCAGGGGCAGAGAGAAGGGGAGATGAAGAGATAAACTGGTTTCTTTCTCAGAGGATGAAAACGTTGTGGAATTAGATGGTGGTGATGGCTGCGCAATTTTGCAAACCATCTAAACCGCTGGATCCCGCACTTTAAAAGAGTGAGTTTTGTGGTGTGTGAAATAGATCTCAATTTGTAAATGCTTTTCCTTTTTAAGGCACAGGGGAGGCTTTCTGCTCCACAGGGTCCCACATCAATAGAGACTTTGAACCGGAAACAACGTGAAGCAGAGGAAAAGGTGAGTCCCTCACCTGCTGGTGTGTCTGTTTAATGACAGATCAGAACACACAGGCCCTCACCAGAGCTGGATGCCCCAGCTTCCTCCAGAAACGAGCAGTCCGTGGACTTCCTCAGTCAAGTCTGAACCCCCATTGGCTGTTCAGGATGCTACCACCTCCCTCCTTCACATCCCAGGAGAAAATAAGGACCGATTCCACCAACTTACCGTCCTCAGGAAGAGCTCCAGGAAGGCCTGGGACTGCTCGCTGCTGGTGTTGCTGAAGGGTTCTAAATACCTGACGTTCACTATTCGGACTTTCCCAATGAGCTTCTGAGCCGCTGCAGGATCGAGAATAAACATGTTTGCCGTGGTAAGTGTCAGGTAACAGATTATCACCTTTGTCTCAATAGTAGTATTTTCACATCAGTCAGGAAGAACATCAAAGGGAGGCTGGTTTGCACTCTGTAAAGAAGGAAGAGCACCTGGTATGTACAGGCACAGCCCCTCAGGTCCAGAGGACAGTGGGACGAAGCCTGGAAACAGACAGAGACCTTTCTGGAGCCGCAGAACCAGATCAGCCCTTACAACTTGGACTCGTCCAGCCAGCAGTGACCTCCCCTCCTCTAGCTTACCGTGAACTTGCACTTAGCGCCCTCACCCACCGTCCCCTCTCTAAATCCCAGTCCACAGTGAAGTCCTGCTTTAAAGCACATAAACAAAAGTTCTAGACATTTCTTTTTTTTTTCCATTTATTTTTGTTAGTTGGAGGCTAATTACTTTACAACATTGCAGTGGTTTTTGTCATACATTGAAATGAATTAGCCATGGATTTACTCTAGACATTAGGACAGTGGGACGAAGCCTGGAAACAGACAGAGACCTTTCTGGAGCCGCAGAACAAGATCAGCCCTTACAACTTGGACTCGTCCAGCCAGCAGTGACCTCCCCTCCTCTAGCTTACCGTGAACTTGCACTTAGCACCCTCACCCACCATCCCCTCTCCAAATCCCAGTCCACAGTGAAGTCCTGCTTTAAAGCACATAAACAAAAGTTCTAGACATTTCTTTTTTTTTTTCCATTTATTTTTATTCGTTGGAGGCTAATTACTCTACAACATTGCAGTGGTTTTTGTCATACATTGAAATGAATTAGCCATGGATTTACTCTAGACGTTTCTGACTGCACCCTAATAGGACATCTTAGGCATGACCCGAGGGGTGCACACCCCACCTCAGAGATGACTGCTACTGATTCTTGCATGGCTGCCCAAGATTTGATAACTAATCTGCAACACCAGGCCTGCCCTTGGCTGCTCAGGCAAGTTAGATATTTGAGAAAATATGTGGATGACAAATGCTAGTGAGGAGAAAAGAGGAATATTATCTGAATATATACCTATCAACAAGAATCACTTTCACCATGGGACTGCCGTGGTGGCCCAGTGGTTAAGAATCCTGCTTCTAACACAGGGGACTCAGGTTTGATCCCTGGTTGGGGAACTAAGATCTCACATGCCTTGGGGCAACTAACCTGCACGCTGTACCTACTGAGCCCACACTCTGCAACTTGAGACACCCTTTTGAGTCACAAGTTCTCACAAGCTTGTGTAGAACACAAGTGCCACAACGAAGACCCAGCCAAAAAAAAAAAAATCAGCTCCACCTTACCAGAGTGTACTAATACATCTGACTTGCTTAATTCTACTCCCCTCCCTTCTACTCTGCAGCCCTAGGCTCAGGGTGGGGCACACCTACAGATCTATCCATCATCATCTTTCCTGAAAGCCATATCCACTAGGAGTGAGAGAGGTCAGAGAAATTGCATAGACCAGCACTGTACAAGTGGCATTAGTGGTAAAGAATCCGTCTGCTGATGCAGGAAATGAAAGAGACCCTGGGTCAGGAAGAGCCCCTGGAGAAGGGAGTGACTACCCACTCCAGTGTTCTTGCCTGAAAAATCCCATAGACAGATGAGCCTGGTGGGCTACAGTCCACGGAGTCGCAAAGAGTCGGACATGACTGTACCCATTTCCCTGCCATATACCCACGAGGACACAGGTGATTGAGGGTCTGCAGCCTCTTCAGAGTCTGGACCACTGTGCAGAGCAGCCTCTTTTCCCACCACCTGTCCCTGAAATGGGGCTTCCTTGGTGGCTCAGATGGTAAAGAGTCTGCTTGCAGTGCATGAAACCTGGGTTTGATTCCTGGGTTGGGAAGATCCCCTGGAGAAAGAAATGGCAACCCACTCCAGTATCCTTGCCAGGAAAATTCCATGGACAGAGGAGCTTGGCAGGCTACAGTCCGTGGGGTCGCAAAGAGTCAGACATGACTGAGCAACTTCATTCATTCATTCATTTGTCCCTGAAATAAGCCCCCTCCCACATGGCCTTCGAACCCCAGCTGAGGAAGAAGCGAGCCAGGTGTTCCTACACTGAGAAGAAAGGAAAGCCAACATCTACACATAAATGCAGCTGTTTTAAACCTTCACCCATTGAAAACCTCTTTCCTACTTTTTCTCCTCCCTTTAAGAACCCACGGTGACATTGTTTCTAGAGCCTGTTACCTGTCCTCACTTTCAGTTGGGCTCTGGCACTTTCTTGACCACATGCTCTGGCCACGATCTCCACCAGGTACAGGACGCCGGGCTCCAGGCCTGACAGCGTGAGGCTTGCTTTCCGGGTCTGCAGGTGCATGGTGGGGCTCCGAGCAGAAACCAGGCTGAGCTGAAAAGTGGAGCGCAGGGTAGGATCCGCCGCCCAGGCCACGTGAAAGCCCGTGCTGGTCACATTGGAGACAGTGACCCTTCCGATGGGGATGGGAGCTGAGAAGTGGAATATAAATGCCCCTGATTAAAATCAATACAAGGTTCCCAGTAACAGGAAGGATAAGCTTCACCCCACCATGTGGGGACACGAGCATCCTCAGGGGATGTCAAGTCCACTTGCCGCCAGCTGCACACTCGGATGCAGGGTCCCTGGATTGCCCCCCGAGCCCTGGGCTCCCGGGCATGGTTCCCCTGCCCTCGGGTTGGCTCTGTGTCCACCCTGAGGTCCCGGGAACTCCAGAAATAAACTTTTCTTCAGGAGGTTCTGGGTGGCTCCTCCAGGAGTCCCCCTCCTCAACCCCCAGGCAGACTTCCCAAGGATTCAGCCAGCTGGCCATTGCTGGTCACAGACCATTCCTGCAGGTGACTTGGGGCTGTTTTTGCAGGCCTTAGAGTTTAGTCCGGAATCCAGCCTCGTGCAGCGGAGTACATGCATCAGTGGAGCCACAGTTGACAGTGGGTTCCATGTAGACACAATCCAGGGTCAGACCAGCTTGGGGGACTCATACAAGGGTGCCAGGGCTATCTCATTCCATGGGAGCTGCGTTGCCAGGCCTGTTTCCTTCTCAGAGTGGCCACCTGGCTCCTGGGGTATCACCCTGGACTATTGATGATGGCCAAACCTCTGCAGGTAATGGGTGATGTGGAGCTGCTGGGGGCGGTGTGGCTGGGGGCAGTGGGAGGAATATAGAACTGCTGGGGGACTGCAGCGGGCTTGAGGGTGCAGCACTGCTGGGGTCTGTACCTGGATGAGGGGTGCAGCACTGTAGGGAGGGGCTTCAGCAGGCTGGGGGGTGCAGCACTGCTGGAGAGGTGCAGAGAGGTTGGGGCCCAACACTACTGGGGGGAGGTACCCCCATGCTCAGTGCCCTTAATGCGACACCTGCTCGATTTCCTGCTCTTGCTGTTGGCCAGTGGGGAAACAGGAAGGGGGAGGACAGGGCCGGAGAGAAAGAGGGGAGACCAAGTTCTCACCCTAACTAGACTCGGAGCTGGCCTCCCGGGGACTGAGTGTGCTGCAGTGGGTCTGCACAGCATAAAATGAGGGTCCACCCAGGGCTGCTGATGGCCCTGGACTGGATGAGCCTTTGCTTATGGGCACTCACACACCACATGGCTCCACACAGCCCCAGGACACACTCTCCCTGACACTCACCGCAGGCCGGGGTCTTCAGAGATGCAGGCGTGGGGGCCAAGGGCTGATCTGGAGAGCTGAAGGGCCCAGGGTCCAAGTTCTGCACCCACGTGGGGTCCAGAGGTGCTGGGGGTGTGTCCCTCATGGGGAGGCTGGAGTGCCACTCGATGTGGCCCGTGGGATTCGGGACAGGAGTGGGCCAGAAGGGCAGCTCTGCGGTAGAGTTAGGGGGTGACTGTCCAGGGGTGACTGGAAGGCTGTCCGTGGCCCCAGGAGAGGAGCTGTGGGTTGGCCCAGGAACCCTGGGGGAGAAGGCCACCCTGCTGGCCGTCCACTGGCCGGTCCCTGGGCCGGGGGCCACGCTGGCCTTCGTGCCATGCCCGGTGCTGTTACCACCGTGGCTGCCCAAGCCGCTGACTCCTCTTCTAGGTGGGAGCCCTAGGGTCCAGGCCTGGCCTGCTGCAGGGGTGCTCCATAGGTGTCCAGGGCCGGGGAACAAGGCAGGGGTCTCCGGACTGAAGGATGTTGCTTTTGTGCTGGGAACATACTGGGGGGAGGTACCCCCATGCTCAGTGCCCTTAATGCGACACCTGCTCGATTTCCTGCTCTTGCTGTTGGCCAGTGGGGAAACAGGAAGGGGGAGGACAGGGCCGGAGAGAAAGAGGGGAGACCAAGTTCTCACCCTAACTAGACTCGGAGCTGGCCTCCCGGGGACTGAGTGTGCTGCAGTGGGTCTGCACAGCATAAAATGAGGGTCCACCCAGGGCTGCTGATGGCCCTGGACTGGATGAGCCTTTGCTTATGGGCACTCACACACCACATGGCTCCACACAGCCCCAGGACACACTCTCCCTGACACTCACCGCAGGCCGGGGTCTTCAGAGATGCAGGCGTGGGGGCCAAGGGCTGATCTGGAGAGCTGAAGGGCCCAGGGTCCAAGTTCTGCACCCACGTGGGGTCCAGAGGTGCTGGGGGTGTGTCCCTCATGGGGAGGCTGGAGTGCCACTCGATGTGGCCCGTGGGATTCGGGGCAGGAGTGGGCCAGAAGGGCAGCTCCACGGTAGAGTTAGGGGGGGACTGTCCAGGGGTGACTGGAAGGCTGTCCGTGGCCCCAGGAGAGGAGCTGTGGGTTGGCCCAGGAACCCTGGGGGAGAAGGCCACCCTGCTGGCCGTCCACTGGCCGGTCCCTGGGCCGGGGGCCACGCTAGCCTTCGTGCCATGCCCGGTGCTGTTACCACTGTGGCTGCCCAAGCCGCTGACTCCTCTCCTAGGTGGGAGCCCTAGGGTCCAGGCCTGGCCTGCTGCAGGGGTGCTCCATAGGTGTCCAGGGCCAGGGAACAAGGCAGGGGTCTCCAGACTGAAGGATGTTGCTTCTGTGCTGGGAACCGAGGCTGTGACCTCTGTCACTGGAGACGACATGTCCACAGGGCTCTGCATGTCACCTGCCAAGACACAGCCAGGCTCAGACAGGGCATCTCGTCTACCCTGACCAAGTGTGCCCACCCCCCAAGGGAGCTGAAGGGGGACATAGGCTGTCCCAATGAGTGATTCAGAGTGTTTAACAGGACCCATGTTTTTGGTTTCCCAAGAACTCTCTTTAAAGGCCAGGGGGCTTCTTCATTTGACCAGTGAGGATGCCCCTACGGTGAGTAGGGGGTCCACCCAGTGGCTGCTGAACCAGGACATAAATGCAGGGCTTGGTTCCTGTAGGCCTCAGATGGGTGCATCTAGCCTTTGAGAAATTGGGACCGTTTCCCCCAAATGTGTGCTCAGTGTGGGGGTTGGTGCTGGTCACTCTTACCAGCCTGCTGGGCATTAAATGTGTAAGAAAAAGGATGGGAGGGGAGTGACTGTGTGGGTCTCAAGAAGCAGGACAGTAAACACAGTAGGTAAGGACGAATTTCCCTAGGGAAAAATTCGCTACTGCTGCTTCCAGCCAGAAGGCTTTAGCAGGGATGGCTGAGCAGACAGGTGGCTGAGCACCTCACTGCCCACCTGCCCCTAGAGCAGACATTGCTAGTCAATCACAGCACTGCGGATCTGTATATGACCTCCTCCTGCTTCTTAGCTCAGCACTCCAGGTATCCCCAACCAGCTGATCAGAACCGCACCCTATCCTCAAAATCTTGGGGCCGAGATGTGCCTAGAATGGGGCTCAGAGGCCTCACCTCCAGGCCTTCTCCTTGCTTACCTGGGATCCTACACCTCTCATGATGTGGGCCACTCAGGAAGGGGCCACCTCCTCCCTCCAGGGGTTTCATCATGACTTTCTCAGGCCTTTTCACTCAAAAGAATAATTTAAAATCATACTTTAAACTGCATTGGTCCAGGGGCTTCCCTGGTGGCTCAGTGGAAAAGAATCTGCCTGCCAATGCAGGAGATACAAGTTCGATCCCTGATCCGGGAAGTTCCCACATGCCACAGAGCAACTGAGCCCGTGTACCTAAACTACGGAGCCAGTGCTCTAGAGCCCAGAAGGCTGCAACTACTGAAGCCTGAGCGCCCTAGAGCCCATGCTCTGCAACAGGCGAAGCCGCCACAATGAGATGCTTGTGTACTGCAGTTAGTGCATGCTGCCGCACAGACCCAGCACAGCCAAAAATAAATAAACAGATAAATTTTCTGAAAACTGCCTTGGTACAAAGACTGGGTTCATAATTGATATTTACTATTACTACATTAATTTTTTCTTTTGGTCTTAAAAGGAATTAAGTCATTCTCATGGGTCCCTAACAGTATGGTGGGCCCCAGGCACTGTTCCCACCCTGCTGGACGGAGGTTGGCCCTGCTCCAGCCCAGGCCCTCGGGGATGGGGCTGAGACCAGAGCTGGGGGTGGGGAAGGAGCGCACCGTCACAGACCCGGCCCGGTCTGGAGGGGTTGGCATCCCTGGTTGTCTGGCACCGGCAGGTATATGAGCCCTCCAGGTTGATGCACTGGGCCGCCGGCGAGCAGTCGTGCTCCAGGCTGTCTGCACACTCGTCCCAGTCTGCGGGCGGGAGGGAGAGGGGACGTGAGTGAACACGGCCACATGGTGAGAACACGACAGAGGCTGCTCAGAGAACAGAGCGGTAGTGGCATCGAGTTCTTCATGGCCGTACTTTCAGCAAATGCACAGGGGGCTGGGGCAGGGTGTCAGTGAGGCCCTGGCATCCAGCACCTGGTGTGGGGGTGGGGAGCCCTGCACAGAGCCCTCCCAGAAGCTTCCATCTGAACCAAGGACCATCTGAATGGAGTGTCTGCCTGCCTCCATCGCTGTCTGATCTGGAGGCAGAAACTAGGCAATGTCGGCTCCTTTGGGGATACTAGAGCCCACAGGCTTCCCTCATAGCTCAGTTGGTAAAGAATCTGCCTGCAATGCAGGAGACCTGGGTTCGTTTCCTGGGTTGGGAAGATCCCCTGGAGAAGGAAAGGGCAATCCACTCCAGTATTTCTTGCCTGGAAAATCCCGTGGACAGAGGAACCTAGCAGGCTACAGTCCATGGGGTCGCAAGAGTCAGACACAACTTGGCGACTAAACCACCAAATCACGACCACCAGCACCAACAGGTGTGAATATAGTCCCATCTTGTTTATTCTTTGCTCCCAAGGGGCTGTCTCTTTGCTCTGATGTGCCAGCCATCCCCTAATATTTAGTGTCCCAAGAAAGAAACAGAGAAATAACTGAGCCAGGAGGTGTCCAGTCACTACAACATGAACCTTCTGAGACCCCGGACGGCCCTTGCAAACCTCCTCTCTGGGTCTGGGAAATGGCCAAGAGAGACTCAAAGGCCTCGAGCCACCAGAAGCCCTGAGCCTTCTGATCTGGGCAAGGTAGGCTGTTAAGTAAGCCCTGTAAATACCCCCTCGCCAGGCCTGTAAACCCCCCCAAAGCCTCCCTTCCTTTCTCAGCCAGGGCCAGCTTTAGGGAAAACTCATCAGGAGCATCCCTCCCTCCTTCTCCTGCCACGCCCTCCCCTCCCCTCTTCTGGGCCCCGTGGTCACCCCCAGCCCCACGTGAGGCCCTGCTAGAGCAAAGAATCTGATAGCTTTGGGCATGTTGACGCATGACTGATCAATAAGGCGCTACAGGAGAGTAAGCAGGATAAAACCTTAAGGAAGAAAGGCAAACATATATCACTTATATGGGAAATCTGAAAAAAAAAAAAGGTACAAATGAGCTTATTTACAAAACAGAGAAAGAGTCGCAGATGTAGAAAACAGCCTTATGGTTACAAGGGGAAAGGGGGAAGGGATAGATTGGGATTGACATATACAATACACACCCTACTGTATAATAAAATAGATAACTAATAAGGGCCTACTGTATTGCACAGAGAACTCTGTTCAGTACACTATAATGACTGATACAGGAAAAGAATCTGAAAAAGAGTGGATATATGTATATGTATTTCCAGTAGTTTTTCCAGTAGTCAGATACGGTGCAATAGTTGGACCATAAAGAAGGCTGAGCCATGAAGACTTGATCCTTTTGAACTATAGTGCTGGAAAAGACTCTTGAGAGTCCCTCAGACAGTAAGATCAAACCTGTCAATCCTAAAGGAAGGATTTCCTAAAGGAAATTATTCTTGAATCTCATTAGAAGGACTGATGCTGAAGATGAAGCTCCAAGACTATGGTCACCTGAAGCGAAGAGCCGATCCATTAGAAAAGACCCTGATGCTGGGAAAGATTGAGGGCAGGAGGAGAAGAGGATGACAGAGGATGAGATGGTTGGATGGCATCATCGACTCAATGGACGTGAATTTGAGCAAACTCTGGGAGATAGTAAAGATAGGGAAGCCTGGCCAAGAGAGGTCGCAAAAGTTGGACACGACTTAGCTACTGAAGAACAAGTGTATATGTAAAACGAATTCACTTTGCTATACACCTGAAACCAACACAGCATTGTAAATCAACTATACTCCAACTTAAAAGTAAACAAAAATAAAGCACTCAAGCTGTATCTCCTGGGAGGAGCCAGGTGGGAGAACAGTCTTCCCCCAGACCCGGAAATCCATCCTTCAGCCCAGGTCTGGCTCTGTGGGCCACTGCCTGTCCCACCCCCACGCCAAGAGAACAGGTGGCTCTGAGCAGAGTCACCCTCTGCCATCAGCGGAAGCTGGGTACCTTGAGGGGGCTGAGGGTCCCCATGAGGGGTGCTCACCAGCCCTCTGCACAGGTTTCCCAAGAGCTGCAGGGCAGGTTCCCTGGCCAGGCTCAGGGTGCCCACGGAGCCTGGACTTGGCCAGGCTTCAAGTGAAGATAAGGCACGTGTCCAGTTTTATGCAGAGAAAGCTCTGCATCTGGGGGCTCAGAGGCCCGTTTTGTGGTTCTCAGTTTTGCTTCATGTGATCTTCATGGAAGCAGCTCCGCTGAGACCAGCAGGCTCATCAGCTGATGCAACAGTTACACCCCAACCCTGGGCTCCCCGCTGGCCCAGATCTCCTGGAGTGCTGCCCAACCTCCAGCCTGCAGATGGCTCAAAGGTGCTGACGGTTAAGGCCAGGGCCGGACCCAGGCCAGCCAGGGCAGAGGGCCACGAGGAGAGTGGAGGCCCCACTGAAACCTGAGTTTAATCTGCAGAGCTTCAGAGGTTATCTCCGGGAGGTGGTTGCCTGCTCACTCAGCCAGCACAGGGCTCATGAGCAAGCCGGAGCAACTCTGGTCTTGCACCAAAGCCCGGGGCCATACAGGTCTCAGCTTCGGGCCTGTGAGCCGTGGGAGATGCCGAGCAGGCTTCATGCCTCCTGGACCGCCAGACGAGGATGCAGACAGGATCCCCTATGGGGCCTGAGCTCTGCTCCTGCCGGCAGGAAGCTGGGACGAGGGTGTGGCCCCCTGTCCAGAGGAGGGGGCGGCCATGGGAGACTTACAACTCCCCACACAAGTAACCCTCAGGAATGAGGCAGGGAGGCCCAAGGACAAGCCACCCCATCCCTGAAAAGGCAAGCTCCTCAGGAGGCTCCAAACTGTCTTGGAGGCCCAGGTGGCCTTTGCGGGTGAAGCCTGCCTGGCTAGAGCTCTCAGCCCTTCCTGGGGACTGGCGTCAGAGTCTCAAACAAGGAGGCATGTGGGCACAGAGACCTGGGTTCTAACGGCAGCTGGCTCCAAAGGCAGCACCACCAAAGTTGGGGAAAGAGCCCCATCAGTAGGTCAGGGGGATGGTGACAGTCCCAGGGCCAGGCTCCCCTGCCCACGCCTTCTCGCTCTGCCCACAGAGGCGACAGGAAGGGCCCCTGCGTCTGCGAGGCTGTCAGGAGCCTGTGGCTGATGGGAAGCTTTGGGGAGCGTGGCCAGACCTGTCCTGAGCTCACAGGAGGAGGCGTTGCTGCCCGGGTACTGCGGGGACCCAGGGGACCCCTCACAGCGAACAGTGCCAATGTCAGGGCCGTGTTGGGCCGAGGTCTGCACACAGCATGATGGCATGAAGGGGCCACGTGGACACACACGGAGGCCCAGTGGGTCGTCTGCGCTTGGAGCAGGTGAACAGCACAGCCCTTTCTGAGCAGAGTTTTAGGAAAGGGTGGGGGGCGAAGGCTGGAGAGACAAGGGGAACAAGGGGAAGGAGGAGCGGGGAGGACCGGCGGGGGACCATCCAGGCCCAAGAACTCTTCCGAAATACGGATGTAGGTCCTAGAAAAGCATTTCCCCGACGTGTTGGGCGGTGCTGTCAGAGCTGCACCGGGCACCTGCTAACTGACCCCCATCCCCCTCAGCACTCCTTCGTTTACCCACGAGGTGGGATGTGTCCTCACCTTCCCATCTCCCAGATGAGAACACGGAGGCCCAGGAGGCAAAGTGCCCTGTACAGTGGCCCACGGCGAGCCAGCATCAGAGCTGGGATTCCACCACATCCAGCCTCTCTCACCGGGTAGTGTGGACAGGATCCGAGAACCAGGGTGCCGCTCAACACTGGGCCTCCCTGCACATGTACACCACCCCAGAGGAAGACCAGGGCACGCGGCCACCCAGTGACCAGGGGTAACAGATCTCGGGGACATTATGAGATTGTGACAACGTGATGGCCACGCTGCTGGGACCCGGTCATCTGCTTAGACCCTTCTTCCAAATACAGTCACATCTGAAGCTCTGTGTTCTCTTGTCTTGTGGGGTCACCATTCAACACACAGCCTCACTTGACAAGAATCTGGAGTAACCTAAGCTTTGATGGCTGGGAGGCACCTCGATGAGGGCTGGGTCTTNGATTGTGACAACGTGATGGCCACGCTGCTGGGACCCGGTCATCTGCTTAGACCCTTCTTCCAAATACAGTCACATCTGAAGCTCTGTGTTCTCTTATCTTGTGGGGTCACCATTCAACACACAGCCTCACTTGACAAGAATCTGGAGTAACCTAAGCTTTGATGGCTGGGAGGCACCTCGAGGAGGGCTGGGTCTTCCAAAGACAGTTCAGATCTGCCTCAGGTGGGCCCTGGGGGATCTACCCACAGGCTGCCTGGCGTCTTCCCGGCACTTGGCCTCTGAGCCCAGGCAGGCAGAGCTCATCATGTTAGAGAGGGCCGCCACTAAGTCCATTCCCGTGGGGTGAGTGACAAAGAGACGGCAGGCTAAGCAGGCAGTGTGCCCCAGGTGTGACACTCCAGCGGCACTTTCCCTGCCTTCTTGGGTTGGAGGAGGTTGAGACAGCAAGTCAGAAGGGACTGAGCTCACAGGAGCTGGCAGCACCCACTCTGGGTCCCGCTCCACTCGGGGAGGGGGTGGTCGGCCATGCCCAGACTGAGCCCCACCCAGGCTCTTTGATGTAGAAACTGCGGTGCCCTCACCACGCGAGGGAACTGCATCCCCAAGTTAACAGCAAAACCTTCCTGACATGACAGCTCACTGTATCTCTGTCTCTCCAAGTCCCTGTCTCTCCCCATCTGGTCCACTCTGGATCCCCTGTATCTCTCTCTCTGTCTCTGGGTGTCTCTGTCTCTGTCTTATCCTTGACTCTGACCCCCTGCTCCCCCATCTCTCATGCCCCTGCCCCCGCCCTGTTTCTCCACCTCCCCCTCTTCCCTGTATGTGACTTCCTGCATCACCAAGTCAAACCACAGGTGTTCTGGTTGATGACACAGACCCCCATGCTGGCGCGTCACACAGCAGCCAGGTGGCGCTGGGCCCCCACTCACACCCAGGAATCTCCCTCCCCTGTGCCCCTTGTGATTCCTCCAGCCTGGTTCTGCCCTGGGTTCCGGGCCCACTGCAGGTGAGAGGCTCCATCCAAGGGAGTGAGTGTCTCCAGGCCCCGCAGGTCACTTCTGCTGTCAGAAACAGGAGATGTGGGATGCATGTGGGCTCCATGGTTTGGGGAGGCTGGCCCCAGGCCCCAGTTCCCAAGGAGGAACACAGAATAAGGACTCACATTTCATTTACCTTATCTACCTTTCCGGCTTCCCAGGTGGCGCTAGTGATTAAAACCTGCCTGCCAATGCAGAAGACAGAAGACACCCAGGTTCTATCCCTGGGTGGGGAAGATCCCCTGGAGAAGGGCAAGGCAACCCACTCAGTATTCCCGCCTGGAGAATCCCACGGACGAAAGAGCCTGGTGAGATATCGCCCATAGGGTGCCAAAGAGTCGGACACGACTGAAGCAATTTACCACCACCACTACCACCATCTACCTTTTGGAATAAAGTGAATGTTGACCAGAACTGATGCAGCCCATCATGATGCCCAGGGTGCGGGGAGGGGGACCCACCTTGCACGTGTGTCCCCTGCTGGTCAACCTGGAACACGGTGCTCGCCCACAGAGCCGGGAGCAGAGGGGCCAGCGTGGACACGCCCACTGGGAACTCAGGGTCCCACATGGTCAGCCTGAGCCTCACCACCACGCTTCAGGTCCGGAGAGACACGACCTGCAGCCTCAGCTTCCCTCTTCGGTACAAGTCGGAAATGGCCGGTGGCAAGGAAGTGGCGACCTGGCCCAGGAGAGGCGACAGATGCTCAGATGGAGCAGACTTTTCCATCAAGGTCTTCAAAACCGCTCATCAGGGTCCCCGGAGTGGCACATAGATGGTGCACAGAATCCATGGGTCCCCTTCATGACCAAGAGGAGGTTCCCACTCACCCACCTCTTGGGGCAACAGTGTCGCCCCCCAGATGACTGGAGCCCTGGAAGTGTGGTCCAGGCCTCGTCAGTCTTTCTGAGGATGCCGAGACCATGACAGTCGACTCCCTATCCTGCAGCCCTAGATGCACGGCCCACTCCCTGTGCCCTGGAAACCGGTGTGAAGGTTAACATGTATGTGGGAAATAAGCAGATAATTGGGTTGACTGGTGGATTAGTGGAATGACCAAGAGGAGCAATCTCATGGCTCTTTGGCACTGTCCCCCCTCCCTGGGCTGTATCCCCAGGAAACACAAGCCCAAACAGGTGCTCAGGGCAGCCTGTGCCGGAGCAAGGGGACCCCAACCCTACCCCATCACTCCTGCACCCACAGGCCAAGCACTGCTTAAAAGTAGGAAGAATTCTCCAAGAAAGGTCAAAAATTGACCCCCGCCCCCGCAGGTGAACATAGGGAGGCAACCCTCCTTCAGTCTGTCCCATTTCCACACATTCTGCAAGTAGAACTTGCAGAACTTCTTTCTTGCTCCAAAATATCTTTCCCAGACACGTGTGTGATGAACGCCTTGGGAGAGAGAGAGGATGGCCCAATCCAGAGCAAGGGCAGATCAATTCACTGTCTGATGTCGAAAAGATAACGTCTCTTGGGCCCTCTCTGGTGGTCCAGTGGCTAAGACTCCAGGCTCCCAATGTAGGGGACCTGTGTGCGATCCCTGATCAAGGAACTCCAAGCCACATGTCACAGCAAAGTAGATAGAAAAATAAAAGCAAATATATTCATTGGAAGGACTGATTCTGAAGCTGAAGCTCCAGTACTTGGCCACCTGATGCAACAAGCCTATTCATTGGAAAAGACCCTGATGATGGGAAAGATTGAGGGCAGGAGGAGAAGGGAATGACAGAGGATGAGATGGTTGGATGGCACCATTGACTCAATAGACATGAGTTTGAGCAAACTGTCGGAGATGGTGAAAGACAGGGAAGCCTGGCATGCTACAGTTTATGGACAAAGAGCTGGACAGGACTCAGCAACTGAGCAATAGCAACAAATATTTTAAAAAAAGATAAGGTCTCTTTCTGCAAGGTTTAGGCAGGTTTGCATGGGGATCGTCAGCAGTGATGCAGAGGTCCTGCATGTGCATCAACCACATGCAGAGGGAACCAAGTTCCCTCTGCATCACTGGCTCAGGACTTGGGGGCCAACAGGGGACCTGGCACCCATCTGATGCTCATGCTGCCTGCTCTGCTGTGAGCAATGAGGCCCTTATCTCTGACCCAGGCATCTCGTGTCCTCTGCCAGCATCCATCCAATAGTCTAGCTTACTAGCTTGCAGGCAGGGCGAAATCCTAGACCTTTCATATTTTCTGACAGTTCAGCATTTTGTTCTTTTCTCCTACTCAGCTTATGAGGATAGATGGTAGTTGCTTCTGGCCCTGTTCTCCCAAGCCTTGTGCTGGTGACTCCCCTCAACCCCAGGGAGGGACAGATGCTGTGATCACTGGTAAATATGTCTTCAGTGAGGCTGCCCCAAAGCAGGAGAGTAGCAGTCCCAGACACCCACAGATGGAAGGTTCAACAGAAAACCCAGCTAAGCCATCAAGTGGTCCACCCCATTTGAATCCAAGATGTTTTGGCCCCAAATCTAGGGTTACCCATAGAGGGGGCATTTTGAGTAATTATCATGGGATTTGAGACTGCCCACTCCCCAGCCCTGGTGAGAGGTGCTCGTCCCACACCCGCATTGGCCTCTTGTTGGGTTTCTGGCTCGGATCCTCGGAAGCCCCTCTCCCAGGCTTTACCTCATGCATCAGTTGCTGGGAGAAGTCCTGGAACTCGGGGCTCCCGCGGTCCAGCAGCCCCTCCGTCATGCTGCGGTTTAGGATCCTGACCGTGACTTCAAACACTCGGGCATCTGAGATAGACAATAATGGGAGTTAGCTGAAATCCATGAGCTTTTCTGTTAACATTTTCCAGTTTCCCTTACTCTTTGGAGGGGGAGGCTTTAGAAAACAGATTAAGGCATGAGTCTCAGGTTGGTGGCCAAATTAGGAGAAACCAACATAAGGAATATGATACATCTACACTGGCATGATGGAAACTCAGACTCAAACACACACCTCTAGAGCCAGAGCAGGGGAACAAGGTGTAAATATCACATGGTACACAGCAGCGGGAACTGTTCAACCAGCCAGGTAGGATAAAAAGGCCCCTCCCTCTAGCACTTCCTCACAAGGTGTGGCCACTGCTTTCCTTGGCCTGGATCACAAGCCCATGTCCCACCCTCTCAGATGACCAATTCATCCTGATTTTCCCAGGAGTTTCTGGTTTTCTCAAAATAAAATTCCCACCTCTCCAGGGCCCACTCCAGGGCAAAATGGTAGGGTTGGTCACCCTACAAGGAAAGCATCCTTTCCTGTGGACATAAGTGAAGATGGAAACCTCAAGGTGGGATGCGGGAGCTTACATACATCTCTTTCGTTATCAAGAATGAAGCCCACACCCACAGCAGATGCTGCAGCAGCTCCAATGACCTACAGGCCACTCACACTCCTTCCCCACCCTCGCTCTCCACTAGCCAGCAAGGGCAGAATTTATCACCGCTGCATACACACAGCCCCAGAAATGCCCCCAAGGTTGAATAGTGCCCATTTCTGGACCAGGGCTCCTCTGAACCTTCTCCCACCGCAGCAAGAGAAACGAGTGAAGCTTGAGGCCCAGGATTCCTGAGCCCCAGCCCTGCCCACATCACAGAGCCTCCTGAGCGGTTGGTATCCACCAGTGCTTAGGGAACCTGGATTCACCATGAGGCCCTGGGTCTCCACTGCTACAATAACCTCCACTGCCTCCAACATAGCAGGCTTATACCAGTGTCAAATTAATTACCTAAGACCTCTAAAGCCAATCAAGCTTCTTTAAAAAAAAAAAAGTTCTGCAAATAGAAGGCATTTTTGCAATATAGAGGAGGAAAGAGAATCAGCTGGGGAATGAATAAGCTGGTAATCAGGAGTCTTCTGGAATCTTCCAAATTATCTATCCTGCATTGGAAGGGAGGGTAGGGGGCAGTGGGAGTGGGGGGAGCTACGTGTTCCTACTACAGGTCCTAGCAGAGATGAATTTTGCTGGGATGTTGGCTCCATAAATGGTCATGTCTGAGGCAAGCTGGGGGGAGATAGAGGGCAGAGGGTGGAAGACAGAAGCCAGCAGGGACTCGGAAGGGTTGGGCCACCCCAGGATGGTCCACAGGGATGAGCCCCCCTCATCCCAGTCTCCTCAAAGGGAAGCAAGTGCTTCCCATTTTCTCCATGGGACAATTTGAAAATAAAACAAGAAGAGGAGATGGCACCAGTTTGGAAATTGGAGGCTTGTGCAAAGCCAAGGGCTTACATTTTTTGCATGACTAGGGTTCTGGGGGCCCTCTGGGTAGGGACCGGTGCTGTGTGCTTTGACGATTTCTCATGGGGCAGCCCTGAATCGGTTCATAAAGGATGTAGGACTGCTTCTTTCATACCTCACTTATTTCAGTCATGGGCATTATCCCTGTGCAAGAAACTGACCTCCATAGGGTCTTTTCCTTTTTTAAAAAAAGTTTTATTTTAAATTGTAGTAAAGTTGATTAACAACGTTATGTTAGTTTCAGGTATAGAGCAAAGTGGTTCAGTTATGCATATACATGTATCTATTCTTTCTCAAATTCTTGTCCCATTTAGGTTGTTCCATAATATTGAGCAGAGTTCCATATGCTATACAGGAGGTCCTTATTGGTCATCCATTTTAAATATAGTAGTGTGTACATGTCGATCCCAAACTCCCAATATATCCCCCTTCCCCACCCTTTCCTCATAGGGTCCTTCATGCAGGGATTTCTGCCCTTTGCCTGCTCAGAACCCCTAGGTTGGGGCTCCCCCATTCTCTGGTCCCCAGATCGTCTCAGAGCCCACTGTCCCCATGCACACTTCATTGTCCTGATGCCAGGGGCCAGCCTAGGAGGGAACTCCCCCATCCTGGGGACCAAACCCGACAGAGGTTTCTAGAACCCGGCACCACTGAGACCAGGCAGCAGGGAGGTGGCCAGTATTAGCCACCAGTCAGAGTCACACGGATACTGGAATCCCCAGTTCATGAATATGTTGTGTTTATTTGGGGGGAAAAGTCTCTTCAGCTCTAGTTCACTTGGGGCCTCTCTCTGTCTGTCTGCTTCATGCATCCCTCAAACCCCAGAAAGATGAGATCTCCATAGAGCCCTCATCACCCGCAGTGTCAGGAGAGCCCTCAGTCAGGGTGAGGTGCTGGGGAGCGAGGAGCCTGTGCAGAAAAGGAGTGCCTGGCCCTGCTCCCGGACATGGAGCACCTCACTCCCTCCCAGGAGGGGTGAGGTCAGGCCACAGGAAGCACAATGATTTGAATCACTAGGGTCAAAAGAACTGGGCTAGACTGAGAAACTCACAGGTGATGGGGATTTTGGATGTTGCCTTACCAGTCCTGACAGTGACCATGGCAGTGATGTTGGCCCCGCACGCCTGGTAGCTGGTCTTCACCCCATACCTCACTCCAGCCTCCAGCCCGGCCACCTCCAGACTCGTCCTAGGGGTGCTGGCACTCCTGAACAACTCTTCACCCCGGTAAACCTGCACCCAGAAAGTGTGGTTCTGGGTGGAGTTTAAGCTCCAGGACACTTGAAAGCTGCTGCTGGTGACATTGAGGATCACGAGGTCTCTGATGGGAGGGTAATCTACAAAAGGGTAGAATGAGAAAGATGCAGAAAACATCAGAGGGAAGCAAAAGAAGCAAAAGTAAAAAAGTGAACCAATATCAAACTCAGAAGCTGCTGCCCAGCAAAGGAAACCAGCCACAAAATGAAAAGGTAACCTACAGGCTGGGAGAAGATATCTGTAAATTATTTATCTGATCAGGGGCTAATATCCAAAATATATAGAAAACCATACAACTCAGTAGCAAAAAACATAATACTCCAATTTATAAATCGATAGAAGATCTGAATAGACATTTTTCCAAAGAAGACATACAGATGGTCAACAGGTCCAAGAAAAGATGCTCAGTGTCACTAATCATCAGGAAACAGAAATGAAAGCCACCCTGAGGTAGCAATTCATAAGTGTTATTCTGGCTATTATTAAAAGGATAAGAGATAATAAATATTGACGAGGATATAGAAAAATGGGAAACCTCTGATGGTTTCAAGACTGTATATTTATCTTCAAACTCATCAAGTCATGTGCGTTAAACACATACAACTTTTTATATGCCAATCACACCTCAATAAAGTGATTTTAAAATGTGAAAAAAAAAATATGAGAACACCCATGCACTGCTGGTAGGAATGTAAATTGGTGCAGCCACCATGGAAAACAGTATGGAGTATCCTCTAGAAAAGAAAAATAGAACTACCATATGACCCAGTAATTCCATTCCTGGATATTGATCTAAAGGAAACAAAATCACTAGCTCAAAGAGACACCTGCACCCCCATGTTCATTGCTTCATTATGTACAATAACCAAGCCATGGAGATAACCAACTTGTTTTTATAGCTGCGGTCAAAACACATTATGGTGTGTGATGGACAGAATTGTGTCCCCCTAATATTCATGTGTTCAGGTCCTAACTCCAGTGCCTCAAAATGTGGCTGTATTTGAAGGCAGAGTCTTTAAGAAGTTATTAAGTTAAAGTGAGGTCATTAGGCTAGATCCAACCCAGTGTGACTGGTGTCCTTATAGGAAGAGGCAATTAGGACACAAACATGCAGAGAGATGGCCCTGTGAGGACACAGGGAGAAGACAGCTATCTACATGCCAAGAGGCCTCAGAAGAGTCATGAGTCGTGTCTGACTCTTTGTGATCCCATGGATTGTAGCCTACCAGGCTCCTCTGTCCATGGGATTCTCCAGGCAAGGATACTGGAGTGGGTTGCCATGCCTTCCTCCAAGAGATCTTCCCAACACAGAGATTGAACCCGAGTCTCCTGTGTCTCCTGCTTTGGCAGGCAGATTCTTTATTGTTGAGCCACCAGGAAAGCCTGTCTACGGTTTAAGCTCTCAGTTTGTGACATGTGTCATGGCAGCCTGAGCAGATTAACACACGGTGTGAGCTTTCTGTGCTACATTTATCTCAACACAAAATCAAAGGGCCCGCTCTTCTGATTCACCAACACTTCATCATTTGCCCGTGGATTTCTGCATGGCTAATTCATTCCCAAAACAATGGCCCGGTAGGGAAGCAAGACCAGACAGAGTCAGGCTGAGGTGCTCTGTGTTTTCATATCGAAACACATTTTAAAGACCAACACTTGACTATAACAACCAAAATATATTTTAATGCTCACATGGAATTAAATCCCTTTTGTGGGAGAAAAATTCTGGCTTTACAGCAAGCCACTGGACAACATGAATTATACAAAAAGGAGGGTGGTCAAAAGTCTAGGAACCATCAATTTTACAGCAGAATTTGAGTTCAATAAGAAACAAGCAAGAAGGCGATTATTTTTTTAATCTTTTGTAAAAACCATACTAGAGAATAAAGAATTAAAATAAGCATTTTTTCCAAAACCCTTCTTATATGGATTCATAGGGTATATGTTTTCAAATATTATGCAAAAATGTCTTTTCAGACAAAGGTGTATGCTTCTGTATAGTAAAAATTATCACTGGTACAAGTCAACCATCTCCCTTTTTGCCTTGGCTGCCAGGAGGCTCAGGATCAGATCGGGGTCCACCCCTTGCCCTGCAACCCGGCCCTGCGTGTCCTCCCTGGGCTACCCTTTAGAAATGGCAGTGCCCAGTGACTCTGCTCCCCCCGCCCCAGAAGCCCTTGCAAGGCTCCTCAAAGCAGAGGGTATAACCTAGTGGATGCTGGAGAGACAGGCGAGCCCAGCTTCCCTCCATCTGAATCCCCGCAGCTTCCTGAGACTTCTCCTCGCAGGAGGAGGGAGCCTGTACGCTACACGTCAGTCCTTGGCACGGAATCATCCAGTGCTCTTCGGTGCCTTTGTCATACAGACGGTTTTCATTCTTCAAAACACCATCTTCTGTTTCAGCTGAAGATCGGCCAACAGCTCAGACCCTGAGACCACAGGTCTCATCCCCACGTCCCCAACCCACTGGGACCCTGAATCCAGACAGTCACCTGCTGAGGGTCTAACAACCACAGAGCTCTCAGGTCTGTCCCCAGGAACGTGAATCACTGAAAAAGTAAGGAAAAGCTACGACTTTCCTAAAAATCTGCTAAAAGCACTGCATGATCTGATTCACGCAGTCGAACCACACAGCCCCAAATACGTTTTCAATCCCACAAATGGTAACACAACACCCACCAAACAGGACAATGTGGCTGAGAATGAGGCCTGAGGCCTGAGGCCTGGGTGGCGGCAGCCAGCTCTCATCAGGGCTCCAACTCCACACCCTGGCTGTCATTCAGACATCACTGGGCAGGGAACTGCAAACAAATCCATGTTAAGGGCTTGCGTGTGGCCCTTTATAAGCACATGCTACAGAGAGTGTCTCCAGGGCTGAGGGTAATTAAAATAGAAAGCGTCCCCTAGTTCTTGGAGAGAACTCCCAGAGACTGAGAGTATCATGCTGGCTGGAGACACATTCAAGGGTGTTTTTGTTTGTTTTTTTTTCCAATGTATTTTTTTGGCATTGCTGTGTAGCATGTGGGGTCTTAGGGGTTGACCCAGGGACTGAATTCACGTCCCCTGAAGAGAGTGCAAAGTCTTAACCACTGGACCACCAGACAAATTCCCATCTTCACTGTTTAAATTAAGATACCAACAGGTCCCTGGGTCATCGGGCTGAGGAGCCATCAACGGCCATTTCGATGACTGTGAACCCCTCAGAAGCTGCCGTCTATCCGTGGTAAGACTGAGAGTATCATGCTGGCTGGAGACACATTCAAGGGTGTTTTTGTTTGTTTTTTTTTCCAATGTATTTTTTTGGCATTGCTGTGTAGCATGCGGGGTCTTAGGGGTTGACCCAGGGACTGAATTCACGTCCCCTGCAGAGAGTGCAAAGTCTTAACCACTGGACCACCAGACAAATTCCCATCTTCACTGTTTAAATTAAGATACCAGCAGGTCCCTGGGTCATTGGGCTGAGGAGCCATCAACGGCCATTTCGATGACTGTGAACCCCTCAGAAGCTGCCGTCTATCCGTGGTTCCCGCAGTGAAGATGCTGTGGATACGCGGCCCTCTCACCCACAGACATAAATCCTCCCTGCAGACAATGCTACCTCATTTGTGTAGCTGTTGTTGCTTAATCGCCCAGGCCTGTCCGACTCTGCGACCCCATGGACTGCAGCATGCCAGGCCTCTCTGTCCCTCACCATCTCCCAAATGGTGAGGTGTAGCTTTCTCCAATGGAGACATTTGCCATTGTCCAGATTCACCTGTGTTTGACCAACTATAAGGGCAATTTCATATGGTTTGATGTTTATTGAGCACCTACTGTGCCCCTACTCAGTGACGGAAACAAAGACGGGTTAATGCCCACAGCAATACCAGACGCATGCATGGGACGTGCCAGCCAGTGTGGTTGGCATCACATCAGCAGAGGGGACACAGTGTATGGGAGACCCCCTCCATGACCCCATCACACTGCTGGCCAAGCTTTCGGTGACACAGTTAGAGCTGCTCTTGGCTGAGAGCTGTTGCCCAGGACATGTCATACCACACAGCCTTTCCAACAATACCAGGAACTACTATGATCCCATTTTACAGAGGACAAAACTGAGGCCCAGAAAGGTCAAGGAGAAAGTAAATGGCAAAGCTGTCCAATAACTAATGACAAAGCTCCCCGCCCCCTGCCCTGTGCTGCACTCCTAAATGATCCCATCACCGGGAACAGACTGACCTCCAAAGACACCAGCTCCCGATCCCTAGAACCTGCAAATGTGACCTTATTTGGAAAAAGAGTCTTTTCAGGGGTGATGAAATTAAGGGTCTTGAGAAGAGACGGTCCCGGATTATCCAGGTGGGCCCTAAGTGCAATCACAAGATGGGAGAGAGAACACACACACACAGAGGAGGAGACCAAGTGAAGAAGGAGCAGAAGAACTGAAGATGCTGTGTCGGCCTCGAAGGTGGGAGTGATGTGGCCACAAGCCAAGGACTTCGTGCTCCCCCAGAAAGAGGGAGATACAAAGCAGGGATCTCCCTAGAGCCTCCAAAGTGGACCTGCCCTGCCAACACCTCGACCTGGACCCAGGGATAAGGATGACAGGCTTCTGCCCTTCCAAACTGCGGGAGAACAAATCTCTGTTGCTTTAAACCCCTAAGTTTGTGGCGCTTCATGATAGCAGCCCCAGAAAATGAATCCACCTCCCCAGACTAAGTAGTTTTCAAGGCAGCTGTTGGCGAGACAGCACATCTGGTTGGAAAGTTCTCCATGTTGCTGCAAAACCAGCCAACTTCTGACATGCTAAGGCCACTCCCTCCCTCTTCTGTGGACAGACTTTGAGATACTGTAAACTGGAAATAATCCTTTGTTTCTGACCCTGCCGCCTTCCCTCTGACTTGGATTTCAGTTCATCGGCCAGGACACTTTCTGTCCCTGCCGCCGGCTTGGCAATGCCTCTCCCTCTTAAAATGTGGTCCCAGAAAATAAATCAGTCAATTCTCAACTGCGAGTGACCCCAGGGTACCCCTGCCCTGTGGCCCTCCCCAGGCTACAGCTGTGAATCTGAATTCAGGAGTCGACATTGATCTCATGAAGCACG